GATTTTCTTGCTTTCTTTTCTATTTGTTGGGGATTTTGAGTTAAATAGTTGATTTTCATTCTTTCTTCCACTTCGATATCTTTATTTATTGCTATGAATTGACCTCTAAGTATTGCTTTAGCTATTTCCCAGAGGTTCTGGTAAGTTGTGTTTCCTTTTTAATTTGTTTCAAAAAACTTTTTTAATTTCTTGTATTACTCACTCATGTTCAAGAAGGGTGCTGTTCATCTTCTAGGTGTCTGGCTTTTTTTTGGTCTCCTATATCCTTTTGTTCCTTTCTAATTTTATGGCATTGTGGTCTAAGAAAATGCTTTGCATTATATCAATGTTTTTAACTTATTGAGGCTTGTCTTGTGACCTAATATATGATTTATCTTGGAACATGCTCTGTGTGTGTGGGAAGAGAATGTATATTGAGGTGTTTTTGGGTGCATTAGCCTGTATGTATCTATGAAATTGAGATGGTTGATTGTGAAGTTTAATTCTTCAGTGTCTTTGTTGAGTTTCTCTCTGGTAGTTCTATCTTTTCTTGAGAATGTTTCTTGAAGTTTCCTACTACTATCATGGTGTTGTCTATTCTGTTCTCAATGCTGTAAATCTTTGCTTTGTGTTTTAGAGTTGTATCATTTGATACATAGATCTTTATTGTGGTTATGTCTTCTTATTTTCCTAAACCTTTAAGCATTGCAAGTGTCCTTCCTTGTCCTTTGTGATAGTTTTTATGCAGAAATCTATTTTAGTAGAGATTAATATTGCTACTCCTGCTTTTCTGATTGTTATTTGGTTTGTATATTTTCCTCCACCTTTTCATTTTTTTAGCCTGTCTTTATCTTTACTTTTCAAGTGTGTCTCTTATAGAAAGCATAATGATGAGTTGTGGTTTTTTGTCCAATCTACTACTCTTTTTCTCTTCACTGGTACATTTAAACCATTAACATTTCATTATTGAGAGGCAAGATTTTATTGCTATCTTTTTTTGTGTTGTTACTGGATACTTTGATTTATCTTTTTTTTATAGCATCTTTGTGAGAATGACTCACTTTAGTATTTCTTGCAACATTGGTCTTGTTTTTATAAACATGCTTAGTTTCTGCTTTTCTGAGAGTATCTTTATCTCTCTGTCATATTTGATGGGCAGTTTTGTTGGGTGCAGTATTCTTGGATGAGAGGTGTGTTCTCTGAGTGTTTGATATTTATCATTCCACTGTTTTCTTGTTTGCATAGTTTGTGCTGAGAAATGGCACTTAAACTTACTTGTTCTCCTTTATAGATTACTCTTCATTGTTTTCCGCTAGCTACTTTCAGAATATATGCACCAACAACTAGAGCCAAAGAGGAAGAAATAGAAGATTTCTACCAACTTTTGCAGTCATAAGTTGATCAAACATGCAATCAAGATGCATTGATAATAATGGGCGACTGGAACACAAAAGTTGGGAACAGAGAAGAAGTTTCAGTAGCTGGAAAATATGGGCTCGGTGAGAGAAATGAGGGTGGAGATAGAATGATAGAGTTCTGCGCATTCAATGAAGTATTCATTGCAAATACCTTTTATAAGAAACATAAACGCAGGCTATACACATGGATCTCACCTGATGGTATGCATAAGAATCAAATAGATTATGTTTGTGGAAAGACTCGGTGGAGAAGCTCAATATCAGCAGTGAAAACCAGGCCGGGTGCTGATTGTGGCACAGACCACCAACTACTCATATGCAAGTTCAA